CAGCACCACAGTGGCAACCATCTGTACAAATCTTTTTCCTCTTGCTCCCTGCACCTCATATGCCAACTATCCCTGAAGTGGAAGGAACAGCATGAGGTCTCGAGCATATTCTGAGATTGAGCACAAAAACTTGCAAATTAAGGGCATTTTAGCTACACACCGCTAGCTACGTGCAATCTCTCATGGAGAGATTCTTTTTGTTTGCAAAATGATGTTTCTTAGTAAAACCAATTATCTGCATCCATATAAAGCATTCTTTTAAGAAGGATGTTTTTCCATAAAAGATGCCTCAGCTGACATACAAACTCCGCTGAATCAAAAATAAACCCCACGTCCTATCGAACATGAGATAAGCAAGGAGAGCAAAGCATTTCAGGGGAGAGAAAAAATAGGACAGTGATACAGCCAAAGAATTGGAGATAATTGGAAGCAGTAATTTTCACAGGCTCTAGCTTTACCCTTTTTCATTTCACAAAAACTAGATGACACATTTAAAATGCAGGATGTCAACTACTATAGGGCCAACAGACATCAGAGCATTTATATTTTGTATGTGCAACATCCAACTAAGAAGAGTATTCCAGAAAATCACCATGTGTTTGTCTCAAAAGTATAATTAATCTGCTTTCCTCAATTTGTCCTCCAATTTTTTTTTTCTTTTTAGACAGCAATCAATAGAATGAGTATGTGAAGAAAATAATGATGCTGTGAAGTTTAATAATCAAACAGCAGAAGGAAATCTGCTAATTTTCTAAGCAAGTACACTGTTTAAACAGTGACACCATGTCAACAGTAAGCTTTCAAGATTCATTTTGTTCTCTCAGACCACACATGAAATTTCCACAAATACCAAAAAAGTCAAAACAGGAAACTTTAAAGATGAGCAAAACTCGCTCTTCTCCTAAGGCTTAATGTATGATGTATATTTAAATACAAGGATATTTTACCAGGTACTAAGCCAAGCAATCAGCCATGAAGGAACTTGAAGATTTCTAAGAAAACTTAAAGAAAACTCTCAGAAATAGTCTTGCTGACTACCTCTTGAAATCATCCCTAACGTTATGATTTCAAACAGCTTTGCATTGACCAGTTGGTCACCTCCACAAGATGGCACAAGACTGCCACCTCGTGAAAACAAAACAATCAGATCTGCGTTAACAGGACAAACAGCAAGCCTCTGTCCCCAGAGACTACAGAATACGTTTTACTACAATATTCTGAACAATTCATCTGATTTATCTACTCACAAGAGAAGTAACAGATAGAAAAATGCTTCAGCATGTACATATTGCTCCTGTGTAAAATTTATCCTAATCCTGAACACGAACACGTTGTCAAAGAACTTAAAAGGAACAAAATACAGAATGCTCATGAATAACAGAAAACAGTTCACAGCATACAGGATTATCAAACGAGTAACAGAAAATACAATTCACAGCACACAGGATTATCAAGCAAACGTCCTATCTTCCCAAATAACAACCTATTTTTAACTAAAATAAAAAACCAATGTGTTCAATTATTTGTGGTGTTTTTTTTCACACCTCAAAACAATTCAGCCATGTTGTGGCTATTCAGCTTTTTATTACTCTGACAGTTACTAAAAATTATCATCTTTCTGTTCAAGAAAAACTGAACTCGCGCCTTTATTTTTAAACAGTGATTACAAAAATGTTTTAATCTTGGACATTTCAACAAATTAGTGCAATTTGTTTTCTAAATGGATAGCTGATTAATAAAATTTATAATAAATTACCATTTTAATGCTGTTGTAAGTAATTTGATTGCCAATTGACATCTGCTGAGGAATTAACTGAAAGTAAGCAATCACAGTTCTACTGAAAGTACAAGACCTTGGCAACATAACCCAGGATAAACACAGCCCTTTCTGCAAGCCTTTGAGAAGAATAAACTATGAACAAACACGATAGAAATATTTCCAGAGCAAAGTATTAAAATCCATTTTCCAAAAGATGATAGAATCACAGAATCACAGACTGGTTTGGGTTCAAAGGGACCTTAAAGCTCATCAAGTTCCGACCCCCTGCCATGGGCAGGGACACCTTCCACTAGAACAGGTTGCTCCAAGCCCGTCCAACCTGGCCTTGAACACTGCCAGGGACGGGGCAGCCACAACTTCTCTCGGCACCCTGTGCCAGCGCCTCAGCACCCTCACAGGGAAGAATTTCTCCCTAATATCTATGAAACTTGCTCTAACATTTTAAAAGATGTTTAACTAATTCTTACACCTAGTTTTAAACACTGCTACTGATATTTCTCAAGTTTCTAAGAGATGTTGATGGAATTAGGAGCCCTTTCTTTATGACTAATAATGATATAATTACAACCATCTTGATTTCTGAGACTGAATCAAGCTAACATTGAATATTTCCTGCAAAGTGCTGTGGTTCATCACCAAAAGTGAAAACATACCTTTACTCTAAAAATAAATTCTCCTTTCATGTTTTAGTAATCCATAGACTTTCCACTTTAATTTAAGCTTATAGCAACTCAGCTTGCTTTTAAATTAGCTTTTATAATACACTGAGAATAATTGTACTCCTAAATCAAAATATATAAATCCCATGATAAAATATTATGGCATCTTCTAATATTGATCAAAAAAAACCCCAATAGTTCACAGACATCTCTCCACATGTAATTGTTCTAGCATCTTGTGATGTGGAGTTGACTAGAAAGGCATTGTGCTTTAAATTTGGGAGCTTTTTGTATTTGTTTTTCTTTACAAAATAAATGCATTAAAAGTTTTACATATTTAAACTCATTTCTTTCCACTTGAAATATGGCTGCTATCTCTGTTAAGAGTAAGGAGAAAGTATAAATACTGTCTCATAACAGTGTTAATAACTGAAGGCATTCAGATACCAGTATCAAAAAACATGCTGGACAAAACAAAACACCTATGGACTATGTAAGCACAGGAATTTTAAAATCTTGTCAAGTGTATGAACATCTCCTCCCCTTCACAAACCCAAGAAAGAAAACAGATCTAGAAGACAATTCACAATTCTAACCAGACTCCCACCCCTTCCATCATTCCAATTCACTCAGTACTAATATTTCAGGACACAGATGAAGTTGTACCGAAAAATGCACAGGCTCTCTACCTTTTTACGCTTTTCCTGCCATGGCATATAAAACCAAAATTGGAAGCAGAAGGCACACAAGACTTCCCCTCCCAAAACTGTCATACTTAAGTTACAACACAAGACAATATTCTGGACTCTGCAAGAACCATGCTGGGTCCTCAGAAAGTGTCCCATTTCAGGTTTCTCTTGTCCCTTTAACTTGATGAATCAAATAGGGAGCTATCAAAAATGGCTCTCCCTATGGTACACACATTATCAAAAAATTAACAATCTTGCTACAGGCCAAGAAGCAAACAGTGACCAAGAAGCAAACGTCTTAAATTCAATACAAATAAACCTACTCATTGAAGAGTGGTTTTAAGGTTTCCTGAGAAGAAACACGGCTGCAAAGACATTGGACAGGAGAATCTGACTTAACCATGCTCTTCATAGTGTTAGTACAGGGAAGGAATCAGAGCCGGGACACTGATGGGCATGAAGAAAAGAAAAAAAACCCCATGACAGTACTAATGTGAGTAAACAACTCCACAGTACTGACCTTTTGAGAAATAATTCCATTTCAGAGTTACTGGCGTGGCAATAGTGATATGTTTGCATGGATTTGTCAGCAGTCTTTTCAATGCAGAACAAGAAAGAACTTAAAAATGCTGCACAGCATGTGAAGTTTTGGATCCCCTTCCCTGACACATGGTTTAGTTATATTTATAAAACACCTTAATAGTTAACTTTAAGCAATCAAATATTTTTGAGCCTAATTAAAGTCATTTACTGCCAGGAACCATTACAGCCTTCTTTTATTCTCAAGATAATACACTAGATGCTTTTAAAAATATATATATAGACACATTGTATTTTACCTCTGTAATACAAAATATATACTCCCTAGTTCCATTAGATCTGTATACACAGGAAAAACATTTAAAAGAACAATTCAGTAATGCCATTAGTATTTCTTTAAGATTACATGTCAAAGATCTTAGAAACGCTCTGTTCAGCTGGGGAGTGAACTCATATCCTACATCAGTACAAACCTGTGAACACGGAACCTCAGGACATGAAAGCCTGATTATTTAAAAGGGCATTCATTAGACTGCATTCTACTGACATACTTCATTCTCACATATATAAATTACTTCCCTCCTAACAGGTCACATTATCAACTGCAATTTATCTTTTGTTGTACAATAACATTTATTCCCCCAAAGAGGGTACATGCATGCAGCCTCCACCGTGTTTTCTAAATATCAGTTTGAAATAAAATTTTCAAAATGCTTTAATGATTTAAGAGCCTACATTCTGTTTGCAAAACTCATGTAAGCATTTATCGACAAAAAAAAATCATGACAATTCAGTGGCATGTAGGAGGTTTTGAAAACATTATACTTTAGTAGTGGTTTATGCCTTGGCTGCCAGCAAGTCTAGATGGAAATAGCCTTATCCAAGCAGTAAATATGCACCCAGAGGTGACAAAAATGTTAAACACTGAAATACTTTGTTTTAAAGAGAAACCTCTGAAACATACTTACAAATTGTCATATTCTCAAGAGAATGTTATATAGTACTTTATTATAATGAAAAATCACCGTAAACATCTCTCTTATTTCACGTAAATTACAGAAAGGTGTACTCAAATTCCCCTTCCTATTGAATTTTTTAATTCCAGGAGCTCATAAATTCAATATATGGAATACCTTCACATTACAACATATCAGATCTCACATTCAGTTGCAAGAATATAAGCAAATAGCTTACTTCCCCAATTCCAACTGGCGAAAAAAGTCTTTACATAATGAAAAACATATTACTTCATTTCAGAGTCCACAGACCTGAAACAGAATTGGCTTTTCCTAACAGCATGAAACTATTAAAAAAATAAAAAATAAAATAAAATCACCACATAAACCTTTGGATTTCATCACTATTTGGCCATTGGAATGTTTTGTTTAGAAAAATATATAAAGTTACGGCATTCACAGCAATATAAAAAGCCAACTCCAGAAGTTGTCTATATAGAGATGGAAACGGCATATTGAGTCTGTATATTAAGAATGGCAAAATAAAGTAACGAAATTCCAGCAATTTTTGAGGAACTGTGACTGCTAATAAACATACAAAATACGTTAAGATCCAGAATACTGATTTTGATTTTAGTGTATCAGCAAAACTCCAGCAAGAATATATATAGACTGGAACCAATACATATTTGACAAGCTCGTGTCTTTGGAAGACTTTTCTCCAGACATAGAATGTATAATGTCTGTTATCTGCTAGTAAATACTTATGAACGTAGGTAAATTTCCAGATGAGGAATAAAGAGATGGCAGTGATTAAGCTGTACTGCACAGGGTGCTTTCGTAATGACAGAAGGAATCTCCTGATTTTAGAAGGGGTCAATAAATGAGGGAATGAAAAAAAGACAGTAAAGGACAGAAAATAGAACAGCTGAGGAAAGTGCAAACAGGCTTCGTGGCTACTTCTGTCACCAACAACTATTCCACCATTGATGAAGACAAAGGCAAAGAACCCAGTTACTAATATGATGTATGGCCAAGTTAAAGCAGTAAGCATAACTAAGTGTTTAGGTGATGTGAGATATTTGATAAGAAACTGCAATATTCTCATAAAATCTGAAAATGATCCTTTCCTGGAAGAAATCTTTTCATCTTTCTTTTTCTGTAATTCTGTCCTCCAGGCTTCATTTAGCTTCTCTGCAACAACATTTCCAGCACAAAAAACTGTCCACATGATATTTGTCTGACGAAACATGAAGCCACAAAATCCAAGGAGAGCTGAAGTTTTATGGTTACCATAAAGGCACATTAAATAAGCAAAAAGAGTAAAAAATACTGATCCTGGGTCTGTATAATAAAGGAATGTAAAAAAGTAAAGAGTGGGAAACATTGCAAGTGTTAATGTAGACAAGATTCTCTGGAAACCAGACACAGCCTAGAGAAGAAGCAGAAAAATGCGGTTAACAATGTCCAATAAAACATAAAACAAACAACCCCCAAATAAAGAGTACAATTCTTGAGAATTCCATTAACACAATATAGTATCTCTTATGCTCTTTGGTTCCATTACTGCAGAAGCACACGGGCTGTATTTTTGTTAACCTCCTGCTATGTTAATGCAGTGTTGGACTACACAGTGTTAGTACAGAACATTACTGCAGGTGAGTTAAAAGCACCCAACAAAAATTTCCTTCATATGTCAGGTGTTCACATATCTGTGCCATTAAAATCATTGTGGGAGTGTAATTGCTCTCATACCTCAGATAAAAGAGCTAATGGGCCAGGAAAAAAACACAAAACAACAAACCAGCAAACCAACATGTTTTATGCCCCTGCAATCTGATCATCAAGATTCTGTTTGCTTGTGAGACAGCAGAACACATCATTCCATGCTTTTACTCTTGCCTCTTTTGAACCCAGTCCACAGAGTGCCCAGTTCAAAGTTTCTGATCTTTGGTGCAGCTTTTATTGTTTAACATCATTATAATTTGTGAGTTAGAAAATAAACTTCACAGACGGTACAAGACCGTGCGGTTAAAAGCTCCTCCCAATTATCTCACTCACTACACGATGAAATGCAATTCCCAACACCAAAAAATGTTGCATAATGTTTCTGAATGATGTAGCATGGGGTGAAACAGCCAGGCACCACCTTACAGAAAAGAGGAATAGAGAAAAAGCTGAGTTCAAAACCAACAATACGACTACAGTTTCTAATGCTTAGACTACTGACACAAAACCTTATGTTTTCTTACATTTGTATTTCCACTTCAAAGCATACATTAAGTGTTCCAAAAGTGGAAACAATTTATTGAATTTGACCCAATTCTGTATAATCTTATCATGTGCTTAAACATGAAGAATCTCCTGTAAGAAAATACATCAGAAGAAATTTTCCTTAAAGAAATCATTCAGTTATCAGGGAACAGGAAAAAATGTTCTTATGGTTAAAAGTGAAACTGAAGAACTTGACTAAGGTGAAAGATTTTTAAATAGGCTCTTAATCACCGATTCTACCTTTTAATCATAATTTACCCTCTACAGTGTTGGATTCTCCACCACTTTAAATATACAATATACTTGTATTCAAGTTGAATTGTTACCACTGGATGGGTGGTAAAAGTTAAGAACTGGCTGGCTGGTTTTTAACTGGTCACACTACACCCTAAGGAGAGTAACAACCAGAGTACCACAGGAATCTATACTGGGACCTGTCCTCTTTTAACGTCTTTATCAATGACCTGAAGGCAGCAAGAGTACACTCTCATGAAGTCTGCAGATGACACTAAACTCGTGGGACCAAGCAACATGCTGAAGAGCAGAGCTGCCAACCACGGTGACATAGAATGGGGCAACAGAAATATTATGAAATTCAATGACTTCAAATGTAAATTCCTGCACCTGAAAAGGAAGAAATCCCTACAATGATACAGGCTGGACACAGAGTGGCTGAGGATCTGCCGCTCTGTGGAAAGGGACCTGAGGGTCTTGGCAGATAATGAAGTGAACATGAGCTGGCAGCATGCCCTGGATGGAACAGCGAGAGCCTCCTGGACTGCATCAACAAGAGCACAGCAGCAGATCAAGGGAAGTGATTATCCCTCTTTATTTGTTAGGCTGCACTTACAATACCATGTGCAATTTTGTGCCCTGTGATACAAAAAAAAAAAGCACTAGTAAAGTGGAGCAATGGCAGAGGGCCATCAACACGGCCGGGGGCTGAAACACATGCCCTGAGAGGAGCTGGCCTTGTTCAGTCTGGAAAGTAGATGGCTTGGGAGGACTGAACAGCAGCCTACCAATATCTCTGAGGATGTCACCAGGCGAAGGAGCCAGGCTCCTCAACACTGTGGAAGGTCAAGAGACAACAGGCATTACTGAAATTAGAGGTTCAGACTGGACGTAAGGAAAAGCTTTTCCACCGTAAGGCCAGTCAGTCATGGAGCAGGCTGTCCAGAGAGGTTGTGCAGTCACTCTGCATCCTTGGAGAGCTTGCCAGGCCCCAAACCTGAGCAACCTGATCTGACCTCAGGGCTGGCCTGCTCTGGACTGAAGGGTGGACCTTCTAAGATCCCTTCCAACCTGAATCATTCTCCACTTCACAACTTGAATTATTCTTTGGTTCTAAATATTGGTTCTACATACTGGCAGATTTCTAAAGAATAGCTTACAGGGCTTCATTCAGGATTCAGTGGCTGAAGTTTCCTGGAAAGTCTTAAGCAATTCCAACCAGATGAGCATTCAGACCTCTGGATATTAAGTCTTTTATGCGTAGTAACTTTAGCTTTTATTTCAATGGGACTACTTATAGTTACACACAAGAGAGGATTGCACTCCGATGGACTAAAAAAAAGATATTTATATTTTTATATATATATAAAAGGACTGTGCGTCCTTGGCCAAACTGGTAGTAGTACTTGTAGTTATATATAACTGAGGACAGTTCACTCACAGCAAAACAAACATACACTGAGCATAAAACTAATTCTACTTTCACCATACCTTATTCTTTTGATGGATTTTGGACAGAAGTAAATACAATAAATAGAAGTTCCCAGCACTGAAAAGCAGGTTGATAAATCTGAGCATCCCTGTAGAGCACACCACGCTTCCTGTCCATCCGCAGAGCCACGCCACGGGCTTCACTATTCCCACCGACACCAGGTACAAGCCCGGCAGCGTAGTAATCATAGGGTCCCACTGCAAAGTGGAGAGAGAAATAGGTT